AAAAATGTATGTATTTTTCGAACATAAATACAAATAATATTTGTGTTGATACAGCTCAGTAAAAACTTCATTATTGTGTACATTTTAAAAGATTAATATCACGGGATGTATTCACATTTCATATAATAATCATTATAAAATGTATAAATAAAATTGATTTTGTCTCTTAGCTTCATGTATTTTTAACAGGCATTTTTTTTTTTAATAAAACGAGAAAGATTTTTATTTTCCTTGTATCTTAAAATTTTTTCACATTTTACATGGATAAATCAGTGATCTTATATGAGAAAATATATTTTAATTTAAATTAAAAACAATAAAATAATCTTTATTCGTGGAAATGGTATAAAATTTAATTTTGAATCGTAATTGTTTGAAATTTGAATGTATGCCATCGTTAATTTTAGAAMATTAAAAAATAAATGGTATAATATTTACTGTGAACTGTTGTATTACCTACTCCGTAACTCTTGGAGAGGTATATTTTAAACCTTATAGATTGAATGGAAATTAAAATCTTCTTTTAAATAAAATATAAAGCTAATGGCCTATGCTGCCGAAGCTGTAACGTTCAATAATAAAAAAAAAAAATAATAAAAAAAATAAATAAATAAAATATGATGATATATCTATACTTTTTTTTTTATTCTTTATTATTATATACACAATCTGTACCTGATGGGTACAATAAGAGTATTAGCTGAGATAATAATATAATACATGAAAAGGCTTGATAAAAGCAGCCACCCATTGATGATACTTAAATATTGAGATTATATATTAATTTATATATATGTATTTAAATTTATTTTTTTGTTTTTATTTTTTTATATGTATCTATACTTAAAAATTAATTATGAGGCTTTTAAAAATATTTTATTTAGCAATTCTTTTAAACTATAGATTAGGTATTTAGGTGCAAACATTATAGAATAACGATTGCGATCACTAGAAAACTAATGTATATATAAAAGACAGTGTATATAAAATCATAATAGCTTCTTTCAAGTATATGATCYTCAGTAAAATGAAGTATAATTGGTTGTAGAATTGTAATTGAATTGAATATGAATATTATAGTACCTTTAGTTTGATCCTAAGGTATAAATAAATTTCTCAGTAAACAGTATTTTTAAGTTGTTGTTAATTATAATAACCAAAATAATATAATACATTACATATTTATCAGCAGAATTCCAGTTACTGCATTAGAT